AGGATGCCCTCCCCCTGACAGAAGGCCCGCAAGAGGTCGGAGGAGAACTCACCACCTCTGTCAGAGTGCAGACGCAGGATAGGGAGGTTCTGGCAGAACCGCTCGCGGAGCTGGAGACGAACTCCTCGGATCCAAGGGAACAGGACATCAGGGACCTCACCCTCGGTGCGCAAGAAGAAGACCGTGGTGTAACGCGAGTAGTCGTCGACAACCAGCAGAAAGTACCGCGCGCGGCCCTGTCCACGAACGCGGGCTGGGCCCCACACGTCCATGTGGAGGGTCTGCAGGGGAGCCTCTGTCGGGGGAAACGAGGAGGAGTGAGGAGCGGCGCGCTGCCGCCCCTCGACGCAAGGAAGGCAGGGCGGCGCAGGCGAGGGAGGGAGGGGAGGGAGAGACCTGGGAAGACCAGACACAAGGAGGCGACGGTGCATGCCACGTAGACGTGGCACGGAGGAGTGACCCAAACGGTGGTGCCAGAGAAGAGTCTGGTGCGACAGGGTGCGACACGAACAAGGGGAGGCTACCTGACCTGACGCAGACACCTGACCAGTAGCAGCTACCTGAGGAGGCGCAGTCATCAGTGTGTAAAGACTCGACCCTGGCCGACGGGTAAACGTGGCCAGGTGGCGGCCGGTCCGGGAGCACGTACAGATCGCCACACGCTGTCCAGGGGTAAAGGTGTCAACCCACTGGTCCTGGAGAACTGCGTTGCTCACCAAGTTCGTAGAGAACAAGGGGAGGTGGAGGCCTGACAGTGAGCCAGACGGAACCGCCGGGCACGGGAGCACAGTGGTGGACCGTGCAAGAACTGGGCCCCCTGAGGGGTCAGCCAGAGAGACTGCAACAGGTACAGTGAGTGGTGTGAGTGCAGTACTGTCACGAAAGAAACAGCGGGAAGCACCTGAGTCAAGCATGAAGGTGTGCAAGGCCTCAGCAGGCGCAGTACCTGAGAGAGCAGACTCGCTCTCACCTAAGGCAGCAGCCTCTATACCTGGGTCAGGCGGCACACACAAGTAACAGTCTCCCTCAGCACTAACAGTCAATGCATACATGGAAGCAAGGATAGCATCATAGTCAAGAGCAAAGATGTCTACACCAGCCCTAAGCAGCTCATGCCAGCGAGGGCGCTTGTCCTCCTCGCCCATCTCCTCACGCCAGGCGTCGTCAAGGCGGGAGAAGCAGCGGTGCTGGGTGTGGAACTTCCCGCATGTCTGAACAGCGCGGTCACCTGTTCGAATGACATACGGGCAGCGACCACTACCCCCAGACGTCCCACGCTGAGCAAGCCACTCACGAAGTTGCTGCGGCGTAAGAGCCTCACGGGGACGATGCTGCTGCTGCTGTCTCTGGCCAGCGCCAGCGCCTCCGCCCCGACCGCCACCGCCGCCGCCACCGCCGCCCCGACCGCCACCACCGCCGCCACTGTCGCCGCCACCCCTTCTGCCGCCACCGCCTCCACCTCCACTCCCACCGCCGCCACTGACGCCACCACTCCTGCCAGCACTCCCGCCACCACTCCCTCCGCCACCTCCTCCTCCACCTCCTCCACCACCACCCCCCCCCGGTGCCACCTCCGCTGCCCTTGGCTCCCTTGCCCTTGCCGCTGCGGCGCCTCCCACTAGGAGCAGAAGCAGCAGCAACAGACTCAACACCAAGGAAGTCAACAGCAGCGGCAGTAGCGTAAGAGGGGGCGAGGGGAGAGGGAGAGCACCCCTCAAAGATGGGGGTGTGAGGAGCGCCACGAGCAGCATCTACAGTGACTATGCTAGTCTCGGCGGTTAGAAGCTGCTCCTCTAGGAGGTCGACAGTGAGATCGGTGGGAGAGCGAGCGAGCAAGTGGTCCCTGACCGAGCGAAGAGAGTCAGGGAGACGGGTCACTATGAAGTGGAGGTTCCAGTACATCGGAGGCGGGTTCTTAGCACAGAACTCTTTGGGGAGGGCGGCGCGAAGGCGAGTGTCACTAGTGCGAAGGTGGGTGATAAGATCGACAACTGTGGCAAAGGTGGACAGCTCAGGAAACAGGTAGGGCAGCATGAGGCGGCTAAGTGCAGTAGTGGCAGGGGAGGAGTATCGAGTAACTACAGCGTCGTACAGGGCCTTAGCGGTTTTGTGTTCGCCAAAATGCGTGAGCTCGGCTAACGGCAGGTGGTTGCGAACGGCTAGGCGAGCTGCAACGTCACGAGTCTGCCACTGGGAACGGGCGCTAAGCTCAGCTGTGGCAGCAGGAGCGACTGAGGCACCAGACGTGTGGTTAAAGAGAGAGACATTATCCTTGCTATCGCTCATTAGGAACAGCTGCAGGTCATCGAGCCAGGTCTCAAACTGAATCGGGCGGCCCTCAGTATCGAACGACAGAACGCGGAGGGTGGCCATAGCTGCTGGCGCGGGACTGGCAGGGCAGAGCGATTGCATGCAAGAAGCAGTAGCAGCAGCAGTAGCACTAGCAGCAGCAATAGTAGAAGCAGCAGTGCAGCAGTAGAAACCGGTCTGCCAGGCAACTAGGCAGCGCGGCGCGGCACAGCAGGGCTGCGCGGCTCGAGCGGGGCGGCGCGGTTCGGGCGGTGCAGCGCGGCTCGGGCGGTGCAGCGCGGCTCGGGCGGTGCAGTGCGGCTCGGGCGGTGCAGCGCGACTCGGGCACGGTGGGGCAGTGCGGCGCTGGCAGCAGCAGCAGCGTAGCAGTGGCTGCAGCGCTGGCAGGGCGCAGGGCAGCGCGGGCAGGGCGCTTCGGGCCGCGCGCTGACTGTGCAGGCAGATCGCAGGCAGGGCGGGCAGCGCACAGGCGACGCCAGCGGCGCGCGGGCAGCGCGCGAGCAGGGCGTGCAGTGCGCGGGCAGGGCGCCGGCTGTGCAGGCAGCGCGCGGGCAAGGCAGGCCGCGCGCGGGCAGGAAACGCAGCGCGCGGGCAGCAGCAGCAGCGCGCGGGCAGCGCAGGCAGTGCGCGGACTGTGCAGGCAACTGGCGGGCAGGGCGCGCGTACGCCTGGAGAAGCGCGCTAGCAGGGCAGCGCGAGCGGGTCGCGCGCTAGGCAGCTGTGCAGGCAGCGCAACGGGCAGGGCAGGCTGTGCAGGGCAGTGCAAGCAGGGCAGGGCAGTACGGGCAGTTCGGGCAGGGCAGTGGGGTAACGCGGTAACCGCAGTCAGAATGGTGGGCCCGGAAAAAAAAAAAAGCACGGTCCTACGGACCTACTGCTCTGAAACCATGTCAGAATGAGAAGCTAGGAATGACTGCATTGAAAGAATTGTGGGTACAAGTACTAACCCTAACATTGGGTTGTACCCCATACAGGCTACCTCATTATAGCCTACACAGAACTAGCACATATATAGTTTAACAATGATGTAATTGCGGAAGCGTTGTAGTGAACTGATTGAACCACCTTGCACTAGTGTTTGAGAGCAAGATAGATTGATTATAGCAAAGTAATACAAGGCTTTATATGATTACAAGGGAATATGAAAAGACTAACTGTTGCTGTTGCTGTTGCGATTCGATACAGCTGCGACTCGGGCAATTGCTCAGTAATGAGTCAGTTGTTAGTCCTTGCTGTCGCGCTGCCTTTCGCTGAGTGAAAGGTCGCCGACCTTTGACATTCGCTTAACCTCCTTGCTGTTACATTTTTGTCAACCTCTTCGGTTGACTCGCCGTTGCTTCGCTGTAGTTCGCCTTGCTGACAGTTCCGTGTTTTGATACAGCAGAAGCGTAAATTACTTGTTTCCAACCACATAAAGCATAGCTTCCTCAAGTACACGTATCCCTCCTTCGTCCATGCACCAATCCCAACAGTGCACGTCCTAGAAATTACTTTCAACGTTCGCGCTTGATGTTCTTTTCCCCAGTACCGGTATGATGAAGTTCGTAACTCTGTTGATTCTTCGCGTATCATGCAAATACATGTATCATCAAAGCATTTACCCACATATTGTTATGCCTAATTAGGCCAAATGGACTAACATGTTGAAGTCTAATGAAACACGGATACAACGCTATGTCTGGCGTTTCACTGTAACGCGTTTGATTCTGCACCATGACGCTTTCCCTCACACCACCAACACACATGGTCAGCCCAAGTCTTCAAATTCTTCGGGGCTTTGATTCAAATAACGCCGATGATAGTGTGCGGTTCAGAGCTGTTTGCACATATCCGAAACATCATATCTGTGGTAGGTGAAGAAGCCATTACCTTGCGCGAGGTATTCTTGGCTGGTTGTTTTCACACATCACTCCATCACATTCCCCTTTGATTGCGTGTTCGAGACGAAGGCAAAGACGAGAATTGTTTGCACAATATCAGTATTTCGCATCACCAGTCGCGCGGTTGAATCAGTGAACGAGATTAACAATCTTAGATTCAATCACCGTTTGATCCTAGTTTGCGTGACGCAACGGCTCACGAGGACGCAACAGCAACGAAGCTCCACCCATCGTACGGGTCACGCGCGTTTGGGCAAGGCGTGCCGCGTACAGGGCATGTTCGGGCAAGACCGCCACGTTCGCCGGGCGCCCGGCGGGGGTGTTTCATCGCGGAAAAGTCTGACCCCAAATTTGGGCCTCCGTGGGTTTTTCTACCAAAAACCACACAGAAAATCACCGCACACCCCCCAAAACTCACACGATTTATGTGACGTTACCGTCACCCACCCCCTTCGCTCCAATTGGATGCGCTGGCATTGTCGCATCGCACATTTCCCACCAAAATCGCACCGCATCCGAAATTACAGCGCGCCGCGCATTTGCAACGTCACCGCATCCACCCAGACGTCCTCTACAAGATGGCAACCCCGATGTCCACACAAAATTGGCTACGCACACTCATACTTCACACAACGTCTGAGACTAAAAACTGCATACAATAGATAAATGTGTGCACAAAACATCCACCCCAGTTCGAGAACTTCGGATCACACACATCCAAATGTAACGAGCCAGGCCGTCAAACAACACGTATCAACCCTTCACGTCACGTCTGCGAGCGTGTCCGCACCACAAGTAAAAAAAAACCCTCTACTCGCACAACAAAAACTTGTTAAGCAGCATCACCTTCTTGTTCACATACGACCGGACCACGTGCACCACACGCTTGATGCACTCCACGTCCACCACCGCATACTTTGTGTCTACCCTCCCAGGCGTCAGCTGCACACACGTGGTCATAGGGCACTCCCCCACCGCCTCATAGTACTTTACGTACGCGTATGCTCCCTCCTCCCCGTCACAGTTGGTCGCACGGAAAATGCACAAGCATCGTGCATACCACTCCTTCTTTTCAGGGTTCCGGACTGCCACATCAGAGAACCAGTTCTCAGCCGGACTCGCCTTGACGAACGTGCCTTTTGCAACCAGCTCCCCCCCACGGGTTCGGGGAATGGCCACGGCGGTGTGTACCTACAATCACCACACACACGAGGACAGGTGAGAGGCCAGCAACACACTTACACCGTCCTGAGCACCGATACCCGAAACGAGCCCCCCCCCCCCCCCCCCCCCCCCCCCCCTCCCCCCGCCAAAACCCGCCCCCCCCCCACATGCGACTAAGCCTCCCTTTGATGCATCAACCAACGCGGTGGCCATACAAATACCTTGATCACCGGTGTCTTCACATCGGCCTCCACCAGGCATCTCCCAAACGCCTTCATGTCTGGTCCCAGAGACTCCCTATAGACCCACAGCACGGCGTCCTCTTCGTCGCTCACGTTCGCGATGCGGGACTTGCGCGTCAGCACGTGCTCTTGAAGCCGCACAGCCTGAAAGGGAGTACAAGAGCATTGTGCACGGACGCTTCACCCAGTGACAACAACGATGCAGAGGTGTCCACAAACAACATAGCGACTGCGTGAGACTCCGGCTTCACATCAACCCCCATGTATCACGACAACACAAAACCACCGACACACCCTCACGCCTGGACCGTGCAACCACATCTCTCGCCGCATGTCATCGCTCGCACCCTAGTACCCCTAACACAAACCACCTCCGATAGAGGGTGAGGCGCCACCAGACCGCAACAACCAACCCGCTCCTTCCCCCCCCCACGCCCCCCTCCCCCCCACATCTCACCTCGCGCAGCGCTGTCACGTACATCCGCCCCCCGCCCGCCAGAGACGCCACCTCACGAGTGATCTCCCGCTGCACCTCCTCTTCCACGATTCGACGCGGGATGTCCTTCCAGTTGCTGCCGCGCACAGGGACTTTCACTGTGCCCTTGTGAGTGTGCTCCCAGAGGTTCGTGGAGTACTCCCACGGCATCCCTCGCAGTGGAATTTGGTCGATGAGGTGCACAATCTGGTGCACCTTTGGGATGTTCCACGATGAGTTCTGGTCCGGGAAAGCGTCCACGATTGCGTCCATCATGCTGCGTCCCGCACGAATGACAAGGGATGGTGTAGCAACACGGTTGGTGAGCGAATGAGGCAACCATGCTCGCGACAAAGGTGCTGTACAACGCGGTCATGGCTCGGCCGTGCAATGACCCCCCACCGTCCGCACCACACCCACCGCACAACCCGCCACAAGTCGCAACCACACGCACACCCCCATGATCCCCCGCCACCCCGGTTCCCCCTCACGTGTATGAGTACTTGCGGACGTCCTTCAGTGTCTTCTCCGTGTGCTTTGGCACGCCGACGAGGGCCTTGTAAAACATCGCATACTTCCGGAAGGCCCTAACAGCCTTGAAGCGCCGATCCTTCTCCTCAGCCTTGCAACCATCCATGTTGTCCGCGATAATAAGCGGCATCACCTGCATCATCCCCCTGTTCTCGAACGCCGCGTAGTTCGCACGTGACCTGAACCATGACGTGCCACCAGGAATCCGTACAATCGTGCTGCGAGTGTCCTTCTTCTGTTCCTTCTTCCGCCTGCACATCACCAATCACCACGACCGTACCAGTTACACATGTCACACCCCACAATCGTTGATGTCGGAAACTGACCACCCGTATACCTTTCAAGCTCTCGCCTCTCCGGCTTGCTAAGACCACGTATGAAAATGTCGACCAGATGACCAAGCATCCCGCCATCCAGCACATGCAGGATGTCCGCAACGCACGCCAAGAAGCAGTTCCCCCACTCAACATCCGCAAAGTTCCACCTCTCCAGCACGCACTGTCACACACACCAAGAAAGAAAAAACCACAGCCCACCCGTCACACGACACCCTGAGAAACACAGGAGGCGTGATGGCCCCATTTACAACCTGTTGGGCATGACACACCGCGGTCACAATTGGGAGCGTATAGGACAACCCACCCCTACGTACCTGCACAGGGTGAGTCGACCATCGGCGCATGATATTGCCCGCCTCGTCACTCTTCGACGCTGTCTGTATTGCATCCATAATGCGCCTGTGCAGCTGTGGCGTCCGCGTTGTTGTCACTGTCTGGAGCTCGGACAGATGCACCCTTTTGATAAAGCATGAACTGCACGGCCGGTGAGACCCCTGCTGCATCGTAGCCGTGCAACGGGACGACTCAGGATAATCCCCAACTTCCGCAAACAGACATGGGTACGCCTTCACCACTCGCCCGGCAGCATCCGACACATAAATAAATTTCAACTCCGCCCTGAACATCACAGATCAAACACATGTGTAAAACACCTGGCCCATACGTTTCACCCAAACACAAACACATCGTGTCACACCGCACAGGCACAGACTACATGAGACTCACCCATGATGCTCCCTCAGCAACGGTGCAAAAATCACCGCCATCGCCTCCTGGAAAAGACGAGTCTTCTCCGTCGATGTTGCCCATTCCGGAGGGAACGGCAGTACCCCTGCAAGTACGTGACCGGGTTCAAGCCACCTCAAACTTTCAGGGATGTTGACAAGGCTGATGAGTACTGGCCACGCCTGAAGCCTCCCGTTGGAGGACGCGTGCGTGCTGTCGCTGTACACAATAACTCCAAGAATCATCCCCTCTTGGTTCGGACGGCTCGCCTGCGCACCCAAGCAGGGGGGGTTTTCAGTCCCACTCTCCAGAAACGACGCACGGTTGCCTTGCTCAAACATCCGCAGCCCAATACACACGATACAACGTCCTTGACTCACATGAGCTCTCTCCATCCAGATGCCCGTATCGGGTGTGCTGAAATGTCTCTTGCCCTCACAATCCTTCTCGTCCGTTCTCGGCTCGGTAACAAACCCTTCGTTGTAAACGTACGTCCGCACCAGCTTCTGCACCAACTGTAGTGTGAGGGACATGGGAGCGTATAGCGCGTCATTACCAGAGCCGGGGATAGCCAAAGAGCCGTCCACCACAACAACAAACATCTCGTACTGGGCTCACCAGCTCTGTGTTTCTGAAATGCAGGGGGAGAATCGCCATCTGTCCACCAGGGCCATAGCATTTGATCTCCGCAGTCTGCCACGGCACCAGATCAGGTGGTGCCATCGCTTTGCCGAACCGTCGGACGTCGACATAGTTCAACCACCTCCTCACGTCCCGCACTGAGAAGCGGGGATTGCGGAATATGTGCAGCAGCCTGTTAACCTCGCGCCTAGACAAGTCTGCATCTCTGAAAAATATGTAGAGCTCCGTTAGCGTGTCAAACCCATCGTCTATGCTGCTAATCTCGCTGACTGAGTCGTCGCCATCGACAGACGGTGCAAGCCGCCCCACACAAGGGGCCACCCCCGCATCACCGTCCAGTCCCGCGTCTGGAATCGGTTCGTTTCGCCGCGAACGTACGGGTGATGGTGTACCGCTTCCACGCATCTCGCGCACCGCCTCTCTGTACGCCTCTACTAGCCGCTCCGCCCTTGCGTGAGCGATTTTGCGCCTGCATTGTTTGTTGCCGGCAAGGTGCGACTGCAGGGTATTGTCATCTACATGCTCGACGCCGCATGCCTCGCACGCGTTTCCTAACATGACTCAGTGCGATGGCTGAAACCCTAATCTGTGAATTAGGTACTCCCTGTGTCACCACAACCAACTACGTACTGTTGGACAGTACACATGGTGTCCGCTTCCCCTGGCCACATCAGCGTACCCACAACACCTCTTCCTACAAGAGATGTGCTGCAACCTCCATATCGTACATGGGCTACCTACACCGCAACTGGGTGCGGAAACGATCCAACGTGCGTATGCGGGTGAAACGGACGCTTCAGACATGGGCATCTGTGGCGTGCACCTAAAAGACTTTCTACGTTATAGTGGCGAGTGGACACGGGACCACCCGTCACAACAAAACACGCCAATGGAGAATGTCTACCTCCAACTGTTATGAATGTACATTCACTACACTTCTCGTGTTCGTGCCATGCCGTAAGCATGCGAACCCCTGTTTATGTTTAAATAAACAATACTCGCTACGGAGTGGCTATACTTCCGTTATTGTAACGGACGGCGACACCGTACAACGAACCTACCTACCGGACTTGTTGGCATCGTTATCCGTACCGTTTCCTCGGACTGAAAATTGCCACATGTATACCGTCAATGCCTATCTATCCATTGGACGGTAAACTCGTACTGCACTAATCAGCGTCCACCAGGTGTCTGTGGACGTGTCATTATGCCAGGTGCTTGGGTCTGGACGCAGATAATGACTGTACACATACAAACCCCATGTCCAAGTTCACGCACACTGAACTCCCCTCTAGTTGTGACACCAGCGTCCTATATCACAAGTACAGCAACCAAGCGTCCTGCACAAACAACGGAATGGCGGCGTTAGTAAAGCTGTTAGAGTCTCTCAATGCACACCCGAACGATGTTTTCTGCTTTGTTGAGACGCCTCTACTCGCCACAACTTTGCCCTACTTAATTAACTTCAATGCCTCCCCCCGTTACCACTCGAAGTGCGAACTGCACGTGTGTATGCTGTTCAACGCTTCTGGAATTATGGCCCAGCCGCCCATTGTCGTGCGTCGTCGGGACCGCGCTCGCCCCTACCGTCAATGCCATCCTGCGAGGAACCCTGTTATCCAGCGGCAAACCAAGGACGGAGAACTCTCTGCCGAGGTGAGTATGACAAAGCCATAACTTATCACTATTTCGGCGGAACCAGTTGTCACGACTGACTTCTTACCGTCATGCTGTCCGCACCTCTGCAGTACTTCACCGAGTTCATGGACAACTTCAACAACGACCGCTTCGGCCAAAACAAGAACGCCATAGTCCTGGTGGCTAATGCGGAACACGTGTCGCTGGACGCTACAGCCTACGAGACCGAGATGCACAATTTCCGCGTCCAGCATTTGTTCAGCACGATGATCGTCCACGTCGAGGGCATTGTGGCCCCCTACAGCCTCCCCTGGTTATGCGGCGTTGTCGAGGTGTTCAAGGCAATATTTCGCAGCCGCTACCTTACCTTCATCACCACTGACGCTGCGTGGCGCTCCAAAGGTTTAATTCCCATCATCATGTACGAGAACGTGCTGACCTGGGTTGTTTCGGCGTGCGAGACCACCTCATGCTGGGCGATTCAACAATCGTGGGCGCGTTCCGGGGTTATGCCCAAGGCATGGCGGCCACTGCTGCACCTCACGCGAGTGCAAGCAAGCAGCATCACCATCGAGCCACTGTTGCACCAACTTGTGCGACTACAGCTACTGATTGACAAGTTCAAGAAAGGCGGCTTAGGCTACATGCATGCGTCTGAATACGCTGCTTGCGACACGCTCATCCTCGGCTCCATCAGGCGTTCCACGGACGGCGGCATCGAGGACTGTGATGCGCCAACGGCACTCCTGATCACGCCCGAAGGGCCTCTCCTGCACGGCCCTTGTACGCGCCGTCGTGTGGTTCGTGCGGTGACGATAGCCTACGTGCGGACTGCGGCGGAAATGGGCATCCCGCCTCGCGACGTGCCGGAACGAGTGAGTATAAGTAACACCGATGTCGTCACACGCCTGCAGCGCACTCCACGAAAATGGACTCGCAGTGGACGAACGCGCTCGCCAGAGACTGGATGCAGCGATGGAGATAGCGCAGACGCTTCACACCTGTTGTGCACTAGTTCCCTCTTTGCCTCCTCAGACAGTTGCAGCAGTATGTAGGATCAGGTTTTAAATGCGTGTGCGGGGTGTGGTGGGCGGTTTGGGCGATGGCGCAATGGTGTTTTTAATTTATTTCTCCTTTGCTGTGGTTTCTTTGTTTTGTGTACACGACTCATATAATGGAAAACCTGGACGACCCTACAACACACATTGTGCTACTCCGCAAATCCCCAAAAGTGCAACCCTAAAACGGTTGCGCACCAGCGTATTAGCCTTGTAGCGGGGATGGATGTTTCGCAAT